CTCAGCATAACATACTAATATCAAAGAGCATCATAATGAAAATTAATCTCTTCATGATTCAAATTTTAAGCCATTCAATCTAGACATGCCTACCTAAGGCTACTTAATGAAACAACAAGAGTAGTGAGTTCCTTAAACTTATTCAAATATTCAATGACGGCTTGAGCACCTTATTTGAGGTCTATCAACTGTTCAACTAACTTCCTGTTGTAATATATCAGAATGTATTTTTGCTGAAGCCAATGTTTCATTTCATCACATGCAAAAATAGGATGTTCACCTTAGCAATCAAATTTAATTTTTGACCTCTCATCAAAATCTTTTGGCAAATCCTAGTAACTTTATTATCATGAATCAATTGCGTTGCAACTACCCATGTGATGTTAAGTGAAGAATCAAAGAAAACCTCCATCTACGAGAACAAATACAAAAAAGAATTTGGATTATACTTTTCGTTGATAATAGAAGCGTCAACCTATACCCTTTTTTGACAACTCAAAATCATAACTCTTCAAGGCTGAGGTTTACTCATATTATTTATATGATAATTTTGTTGTGGCAGCAGAGTTCAAGAATATCTTCCTTAGGTCTTCCTCTTCATAAAAAGCATCAACCATGTTCAGGGATCATTCGGATATTTTTCTTCATTATTGTCCCTATTATAGAGGATGGCAATTATTACTACTATTCCAATCAGAATTATGTTATTGGTAAATTCTAAGTTCTTGATCATTCCTCAATGTTGTTTTCATAAGAAAGTGCTCCTAAACAACATGTGGGGGTATAGTTGGATCAGCAAATGTTCTGGATTTTATTTGAATAATTGATTTGAGTTCAAGAGGTAACTCACTTTGAATGGTTGCAATTGGATATGGAAGGATATCCTGGTAGGCACCTTCACCAATGTTCCTTTTGAATTTCAAGTAGGCTTCAAAATGACGGAATTTGACATGACAAATCATCAAATCGACCCATAATTTAATAAAAATTGTTTTCTATATGCATACCAGAAGTCATCCTATGATGTTGTAGGTTTTCTACCCTTTAGCTCAATTGCTCAAGAAATAGTGCTAGTCTATTATGTTCAACCGTAACTGCAATAAGTTTCATGGTGACTAGAACACATATATGCTGACAATGGTTTAAAAAATGATGTGATGAATGCAACTAAAAAACTACAAAATAACGATGAAAATGCAAATTGTTTTGATATCAAAGAAAAATGATTCTACTAAAATGTGATTATAAAACCTACTATTAATGCATAGAATATCTCGAGATATGCAAGAGATTAAGTTATGTTAGTTATATGGTGATAGGCAACAGGTTTAGTGTAACAACACAAACACTAAACAATCGAGATATTGTCCTCTTTGGCCCAAGGGCCTCACTATTTTGTCCCGTTGGTGTAACTTCCCAGGAGGTCATCCATCCCAAGATTTCTCCGAGGTGAACACGCTTAATTGCAGAGTTTCTTAATGAAATTATAACTATTACACCAAAATGAACCTCAGTGTTCAAGAATTTAGCTTCATTTATTTAAAGGGTTTCATAATCTCCCCCATTGAAGTAACTGACATCCTTGTCAGCATCTTTATCTCATAATCATCCACCATATAGATAGGATTCTAGAGGTGGCCCTACAAGTTTAAGTGGTGACTCCCGCCATGTAGCACTTTGTCCCATATAGGGTTCAAGAGGTGACTTCTATGGCATAGAATTTTATCTTGTATGACACTTATTTCTCATCTTCTGGCTGATGTATTGCTCCGATACCATTTCAGAGAAGTTATTGAATTTTGTATGATTTACAATGTATAAAAATTGGGTATTTTTATTCAAGCATACTATTAATACAACCATTGAAAATGAAAATTATATGTGATTGGATAATAGCTCGTTGTTATTGCTTTAATTGTAATGTGTGTAAAAGCCGAGTAAAGAATGGTTGACCCATTGGTCGAAGATGGATTGACTTGTACATAATGGTGGGTCGACAGACTTTCTTTTAAATACTATGGTTGGGTGTTATCCTCTACTGATTCAGGTGATACAATGATACAACTATTAGAAGTTATTATCATGTTAACGGACAAAGAGTGATGACTCTATTTATTGAATTAATGGTTACTGATTATTGATTATCGACCACTGAAAAACGTTATGATAACCAAGACTTCTTGTTTACATGTGACCATCGAAATGCATGTTACATATTTATTGTTTTGTATGGCTTTACGGATACTATATTGAATTACTATCACTGCATATATTTAATGTTATTGCCACCAGTTTTACTGATGACACTGTGTTGATATTGTTACCGATATGGATATCGATATTGTTTGATACTACTACTGATTCACTATTATTGTTATTGATTCACTCTGCTAATACTGAGCATGTGATTAAAATACTGATTTGATACTTATATAAAATAATAGGATATCATGTGTATATCATTATAGAGTTCTATTGCATTGATATGATTTCGACAGTCTTTACTGATGGTTTAATTTTTCTGCTTTATAGATTTCTTTACTAATTGATAGTATTGATACGACGACTGCTTTACCGATTCGACACCCATACTGGTTTATTAGTTTCCCCATTGTACTATTTTTTTGCTTCCGTATAGTGCTATTTTGCAGTTTCCAAATTCTACTGCTACTGCATATGAAGTTTATTGTTTCTGCAAAGATTTATGATCATATAAATGTTATTGTTATGATTTTACTGCTAACATGCAAATTGCTCATTTGTCATGCTTTAAGTTCATCTGTAGAATTTGGTTATTTACTGGGCTCTTCAACTCATTATATATGATTAAATAATTTTAAGTCATAGCAAGTGAGCACGAGTGTGAGATTGATCAAGATCCTTCAGGTTCAGGTTTTGTTATTTTAGCTATTCTTTTATACTCAGGGCATGAAAAATATGTTATAATTATATAAATTATGAGTAGTGTAACTGGTTTTTTGGGAAATAAATATAAATGTATATATTGATGTTTTGATCAATAGTTTTATTTCTACTGTTATTTATATTGATAAAAGAAATTAGGTAACATTGGTTGTGTAAATTAAAATATAAAAGAATAATTCTTCCAAATTAGATTTAGGACGTCACATTTGATGGAACTCATTCACCCCTAATTTTAATGGAGTTTCCAAAGTAAACATCATGCAATAATTAAAAAATTTGCAAGGAAATCAATCATGTAAATTTACTAACAATCAAGGAGTTTATACCTTTGGGCTCCACAAATATGTAGGTTCTCGAACAATAAAGTACTTCAATCCCTAAAAGCCTATAATACGTTTATCAACCTCCATAAGATGACGGTAGGTCATAGATTTTGTTGTGGGCAGCATAAAGCTACTTTTCCACTATGAAATTTCACCCAAAGAGAAGCGAGAGGCTTATGTGAAGTAGAATGGGAGGGCCTCAAAAGTCTAGAGATGATCTGATGCAACCGTTAAGGGCTTTTCAAGGAGCAAAGAATAAGGATCTCTACGGTGATGTGGTTTTATAGTGTAACGAAAATGGAATAGTAGCGATTATTGTTGCGGAACAAAGAATGACACATTGAATTTGCGCATCTGAGGGAAGCGATGGGCAGGGTCATGCCCAAGGAAAGCGCACAACTTGCATGGTGGCACTAAAAGGAGGTTACAAGTGGCATGCACCCAGACACCATATGTGAGAGGCACTAGGAAACTCATGCAAGATGAATGCAGGCCAGCATAGGTAACAAGTCAGAGTAGCAAGCAAGTAATGGTGAAGTCATGGATCGAGAGCAGAGGATGAGCAATGGGTCGCAAGGAGCTATAGAACAACACGATGATGGAGTTGTTAGCTATGGGGATCGAAGTTGTAAGCACGCTATTCACATAGCTAAGGATGAGCACATGGTTTCAATGAAGTGTATAGGTAGCTTGTGAGAGGCACAGTGTGCAAGTTGGCTTGTGATCGACAGTATTCAAGCGGAGCAAGGTCTTGTATAAACGGTAAATCATGCAAGTGGCAAAGTGCAATAGTATATGGTTAAATATGGATGAGGACTATAGTGAAGGAGGAATGCTATGAGTCTAGCAAGCTAGCAAGAGAGGTTGCGATGGGCAACAATGGGCTCAAACAACCCAAGTGGAAATTAATGCCAAATGGATCAAACGGGTCCATTACTAATAAGGATCGTTTTAGGCTCTCATGCCACTTAATACAAAACAAATAAATACATAAATACAAAGACACGAGTGAGAGAACAATTGATAACTTTTGAGATAAATAATGTAGACTGTTTATTCAATACTAAATTAATCCTTCAACCTAGTCATAGGGATCCCTATTTATGGTGAGAGGGATCAAGGGTTACAAGAAAATAAAATAACCCTATTGAAGGCAAACAAGTCTTAAAAAATTAACAAGGCATGAAACAAACATAATAAAGCAAAATCCAAATGCTAAATTAAGAAACGGAATATTTGATTAACTGCATCATCGACATCGAAGAATATGAATTCGAATCAAACGACAATCATCATGCATGCAATAACACTTGAGAAGACTAAGGCAGCTTGAAGAACAAAGGGTTCAAATAAATATACGAATTTATTGAGAATGTAGACAACGGGTAGGTATCCAAAGTAAAAAAAACATAAGTACCTCTCAATTACTAATCAAAATCAATGAAACTCTTGAAACACAGTCAAAATACTTCAAAACATAGCTTAGGTGTGCCAACAACATCGACAAATCATGAGGTGTAAAACTGTATATAGCTATTCTTATAAAAACTATAGTATCATATTTTATCCCATTAACGGTAAAATTCCAAAAAGTTACCATAAAGCTTAAAATGTTCACATTATAAAAGGGAAAGATAGTCCAGTGTTTAGGCAAATGCTTCAAAGATAAAAGATGGTAGAAAATAGATCAATAAAACAACTTTCCCAATCTTCCATAGGTAATTGAGAACATCAAAGCACCTAACAAACCACCTGTACACCAGCATAGCGTTTCCAGGCTTTATCAAGCTTGTAATCTGTAGAAAGTAACCGGTAATTTGACAAAGCAAGCTCATAGTCACGCAAAATAAAGGCATAGTCACCCAAGACTCTGATTTGAGACTCCATAGAGCTAAATGTATACCTAAGAAAAGACAAACGCAAATTTGATAAATTCAATTGAATAAACAAAAGAAAGATGATAAGCAAGTATGCCGAAAGAAGAAACCTACATCTGTCCACTAGTAGTTTCAGGTGCATCTTCTTTTCCTTTCCTCCACCACAGATTTTTAATTTGGTTTCGAAAGCCCTTCCTAGTTGCAGAAACCTGGGATATAAGACCATTAGAAATTTTTTTAAGTGTGCAAGAATATCTTTTAGCAATATACAAAAGCCATTACCTGCTGATTGAGAAAACGTATTTTCTGTTCCATGTATGGAATTATGTGTTTTGAAGATAACTCTTGCATAAATTCTTTTATCTGACCAATCAAAGAACCATAGAATTAGTTTCATAGAGAAAGGCTAAAGCACCGAAATTACACAAAACAAAATTAAGAAAAAAAAGAAAAATTCAACCAACTGAAAACTAATGTTAAGCAGAAAAAAGTTTCTGTGGCGTCAGAACATAATCACTATGAAACAACTAGGAAATTAGTGGCGGAGCAATCTTTCCCCAAACAATTATGAAAAAAAAACATCTCCGATCACAGGCAGTACAAAATAATGCGGCAATCACCTCAATAAGATCATCAATGTTAAGAAAAGAACCAATTTCATGGCTAGCTGACAAATGTGCTTTCTGCGCAGAATAAAAGATAAAGCAGTAAGTTGCAGATGAAGCTGTAAATGACGAGCTAATTCCAACCAAATACTTGGCGCAAAGAGTCAACTTACAACATTTAGCCAAGGATTATCTTTTAATTCACCATCTCCACCATCAGAAGAATTAATGCACAATAGTCTACAGTCAATTGACCCAAATGTACTCTTCATTTCAGCTAAAATGCCAGTAGCCCTTCATAGGAAAGACAATGAAAAATTCATAATACATATAAACGCATAAAAAATTAACTGTAATTAGAAAAAGACCAATACCAAAAAAAAATTCAAAATGGCCACTCAAAATGTTTTTATGTTCTTTTTTTTGGGGGGGGGGAGGGGGGACCATTATAGTCTCAAGCTATTTAAAGCGTCTAATCTAGCCCCATGACTCACTAAAAGCATTTAATCTTGTTCCATGATTCCATAAATATAATCCAAAATAATCCCACCGTTAGAATTATTGTTCACTTTGATAAATAATTCACAGAAAGTTCACAAATAAGGTGGGGTATGAGCGTATTTCACGCAGATTAAGATATATAAAAACTTTATTTTTTTTTCTTTTCAAAATACCCTCATTTCCAACCTCATTTGTGACTATGTGAAATTTATGTCAAATTAAACTGTTATTCAAAATTTGAGACTATTTTGCTTCATATTTAAAAAGTCAATCAAGGTATTAAATTGGACATTTTAAATAATATAGGATTAAAATGAACCCTCACAAGCAATCCATGGATCATTTTAACTATTTCCTCCACACAAAAATGAAATTGACGCACTCATTTTATAGAATAGTTTAAAAACTGACCAAAACTTCTTAAACGAAGATCTAGATCATTCATTCTTAACTTTTCATCAAAGCATTGATAATTTCTTCAATTAAATGATTATATAACACGATCAATTAATAAATCTCAGCCATATCTTCATTTTTTATAGAAATATGTAATTAATTATATAATTATAAAGTGGTCAGATAATTTTATAGTTACCATTACTTTTTAATTTTTTGACAGTTAGTTTACAAAAATTACATAATAATATCTTAAATTATATACAGTTTATATATTAACAAAAAATATCTCATGTTATTTTAAGACCATTTCCAATTTCATATTTACTATTTTCTAGGTATGATTTAGATGCAACTAAGGCACACAAATACATATATATTTTAAAAATAGAGAATGCATGACTTAAATATGCATGAATTTTATGAAACATGCAACTCTTGTTTCTCTGTTGAAATGTTTCTAATTTATATAGAGCATAATGTTAATTCTTTTATAGATTTAATAGAATAGCTAGTTCAATTTATTAGATTCCTTTGTCTAAATAGTATCTAAATTCCATGTGAAATCAAATCAAATTTTCAACTTGCATGAAATCCAAATACCACAATTATTTGAAAACGTAACTAAAGTTTAAAACAAAATCTCACTATCTTAACTGGATTATTATTTTAAAGAACATGACAACATAAGAAACATTTTATCTCATCTTCTATGACAATTTAATAGAGTTTGGTTTTAAAAAAAAAAGAAATAATATTTAATAAATTTGCTGATTTAAAATTAAAGTGAAATGATTGCAAGGTTTGAGAATTATATATATATACAACAACAACAACAACGTCAAGCCTTTATCCATATATATATATACACAGAGAGAGATGGAAACGAATCAAAATGGTTTCTTAACTCTTTATTAGAGACCAAAATGATCCACAACTCATTTGAGGGATCAATTTGGTCCCTCAACTCTTTAAAAAGGAAAAACTTTTTAGTCCTAAAATCAAATTTTGGGATTAATGGTGTTAAATCAAGGGGTATTTTGGTCATTTTTAATTAAATTATTTATAAAATATAATTTTCAACCATTTAGATATCTCTCTCTAATATATAATACTTGTGTGTCTACATGTTAATGTGCATGTACTTGGCGTGCGTGCTTCTTACTGATATATTCAAAATGTTCAAAACCAAAAGAAGAAATAAAGCAAATCTCTAAGGCATATCATTTTCAGCATAATACGGTGGTAATGAGAGGAAAATATATACAATTTTTTTATTCTGAAATGAAAAGTTGGAGAAAGATCTTCCATTTAAAAAATGCTTTACCTATCCATTGTTCCGTCATGGTTTTCATGGAGTAACAAATATTGCTTCAAAATTTTGGGATCCATAACACCGTCATTTAGAAGAGATGGCAACTGGTCTGTGTTGAATAGATCAACAAATCTATTGATCGGCTGTGCATCATTAGATGAGACAACGAAAAGGCCTGCACGCACGTATGCAAGTAATGCAAGTAATCAGACGAAAAGAATTCTGGTAAGTAGTTCTTAGAATTCCAAGAAATGCAGTGCAGTGAAAAGCCACAACAAGAAATAAGTCTGCGAGACAACTACTGAAAGAACAAATAAAAACTTTAATTACATGCTACAGGGTGATCAAAAGCTTCGTGCTCAGAGAAAGAAACAGACTTTCTCAGCTCTTTATTGAAGGTCTGAATCCAGGATGGGCAGAAGTTCAACTCAGTTTCTGCAAAGTTAAAAATTTACTCAATTAATTACCTTAATTCCAATGCATAACACTTCCAAAAATAAGATAAAAGGGTAGAAATTATAGGAGTCCTTAACAATAATAAATTGTGGACCAATTTCAAAGAGATACCAAATTTAGTTTAAGAGCTTCAGTTATGGTAGGCGTTCCCTACTTACAACAAGGATTTCAAGCAACAAAAGAGGAAAAGCGAATAATGGTAAAAACTTTGATTGGATGGGCCTCATGTAAATGCCTCATATAGTTGGGATAACATTTACATGAGAGAATAAAATGGCATGAATCTTAAGCATAAAAATGGAGATCTCAGATGCAAATCACCAATGTTCAAAGTGGCTTGATATATGAGGTGAAAGACGTGAAAATACAAATGAAATTGTACATCTATACTCCTTTTTGGTGTGAAATAACAATAGAAAATGAATACAAATAACACTTAGGCCATAGCACTAAATATTTTGTCCAACAATAGCTTTAAGGAAGTTGGCCATTTGAGAGCAGATTGTTGATTAATGAGCAGATTTTTTTTATAATTCTGACCAGTAAAACAACAAAAACATCATGCCTTTATGCCACTACTTGGGTCTTATTTCGAACATTTTCTAACCAAATCTAATTAGGCCTACCTCTACCTTTCTTAACATAAGCCAAATCTAACACATCTACTCACCTAACCGGGAAGGCTGCCATTTTATGTGACCAAACCATCTAAGGCGACTCTCTCTAACATTATCTTCCACTGGAGCTACTCCAACATTTTCATGTATATGCTCGCTTTGTATCCTATCTATAAGAGAAAGCCACTCATCCACCTGAGCATCCTCATCTCTGCGACACTTAACTTAATATAATGCTTCTCTTTTAATTGCCAACATTCTGCAACATAAAGCATTGCAGTTCTCACCACCATTTTGTAGAATTTTCCCTTAAGTTTGAGGGAGACTTTTCTATCACACAACAAGCCCGATGCATTCCTCCACTTCAACCATCCAACCTAAATTCTACTAATAAAATCCACATCTATTTCACCATCACTTTGAACAATAGACCCAAGATATCTAAAATGTGTACTAATGACTTGATTGTCCAAAGTAACAATCTCCGAACTAGATCTGATGCTACTAAAAATACACTACATATATTCGATTTTAGAGTCTAAAGGATTTCGTCTGAGTAGATCTAAAACCGAATATATAGACAGTAATTTTAGTAGTAAAAGATCTAATGGGGGATAGTGACTTTGGGCAATCAAGATATTAAAAAGAGTATACATTTTAGATATCTCGGATATTCAAATTGATGATGAAATTGATAGAGATATTATTAAGAGTGCAAGTTGGATGGTTGAAGTGGAGGAATGCATCGGGCTATTGTGTGATAGAAAAGTACCCCTCAAACTTAAGGGAAAATTTTATAAGATGATGGTGAGAACTCCAATGCTTATGGTGCAGAATTTGGCCATTAAAAGAGAAGCATTAAATTAAGTGTTGCAGAGATGAGGATGTTCAGGTAGATGAGTGGTTTGCGCTTAGAGACAAAATGTGAAATGAGTATATAAGCGAAAAGTTTGGAGTATCTCCACGGGTAGATAAGATCAGATAGACATGCCTTAGATGGTTTAGCCGCATAAAGCATCGACCTTCCAATGAACCAGTTAGGAAAGTAGATGTATTAGATTTGACCCATATTAAGAAAGATAGAGGTAAACCTAAAAAACTTGGTTAGAAAGTATTAGAAATGACCTTTTTATATTAGATATAAATGAGAATTTCATTATTAACAAGACAATCGAGAAAAAAGGATTCATGTAGTTAACCCCACGTAGTGGGATTAAGGTTTGATGATGTTGTTGTTGTTGTAATGTGAGATATTTAAACATCATTTTGATCATTTTTTCATGGAATATGATAGGCAATGTAATTAGAAATGTGATTTGATAATTTAGAGACATTCAACGTTATCTTGATGTTGATCAACACCTTTAGGGTTAATTTTAATAGTATTTAATGCAATTAATGTTGTTTTGGACAGTAGAAGAATTGAGTAATTTTATTGAGGCAAAAGTACAGAATGCAAATGTTCTCGAAAAATTTTAGGTAATAAATTAATATGTTAATAGAGATTTACTTTGAGTTAATACAATATAATTCTTAAATATCTGCACAAATTTATGTAATTATATTTTTAATTTTAGGTGCTGCTTGAATTCAAAGGAGATAAATCTTATGTATTGATTTACATTTTATTTTATAGCATATATAGTTTAACTATTGGTTCAATGCATTGATTTACACTAACTTTATTATACTTGTTAAATTTTAAAGGAGCAGTTTTATATTAAAATGAGAAAACAATATATATGTGTGTGTGTGTGTGTGTGTGTGTGTGTGAGAGAGAGAGAGAGAGAGAGAATGAAATGAAATGAGTGAAATATAACATGCAAATACACGTATTCACCCCCCCTATGGTATTGGTTGGGGATGGAACATACCCAAGCATGATAAATGAAAATATTGGAAATAAAAAAGAAAATGGTTATATTGGACAAAAATTTAGACGGAGCCCTTGGAATAAATGAATTGTTAAAGATTAAAAATTGAAAAATATAAATCTTAATGAATGTTATATAAATCAAGGATTTGCAGTACTCAAATTTATATTAAATGCTCATATGTATAAATTATAATGCTATACGAATATTTCATTATTAATGCTATACTATAAACCTGTAATTGACCAATGAGTTTATAATTAAAAATTCAACCCTTCAAATAGAATATTTCAAGTAAATCACTTATTGAATAAACGACTAATCAAGAAGATTATTTGTACAGAAAAAGAGGTTCACTGAAAATAAGTAAAAGTTTACTATTTTAAGATCACTTTTTTCCATCTTTTTTCTCTCTAAAAGACTTGATAATCTTTTTTTTCTCTAAGTTTCAATGGCCGAGCTCCCTACAATAAAAGTTGACAATGTGCCAAACCTAAAAATTCTTTGTAATTCTTAAGCGAAGAAAGGACAAATTCAAGCGACTAATAGAGAAAGAAGAGTTCAAAGAAGCCTGTTAAAAAAAGGAAATTAGAAGAAGGCAAGTCGAATAAGATGGCATAGAATCATAATGTTGTCACTACCAAAGCAACTTCTCTGAGTGATCTCAACGATGTCCCTGCAAACGAGCAAGTTGGTAACTTGGCTGTTCCTTTGAATAAGACAACAATAAAACTAGCGACTTTGTTAATTCGAGTAATTATTGAGTTCATATAAATATGTCTTTATGTTAAAATTGTTAATAAGTGTATTAATAATTCTAATATAAATTTTCAGAAGGATAATCCCGTGACTTGTATTGAATTTCCATATGGAACAAGCCGGACAAGAGATTATCTAAGAAGGTAAAAAAGAGAAACTTATCGTTAAACAAACTCAGAGAACCTTTCTTTAAACTAACTTAGAGATGTCATATTCACCATACTATGAGTGAGCTTTAAGGTAAAGGTCCAACTCAGAAAGATGTTATTATAAATCCTGATCCAGTTGTTATCATGAGCATTGTGATCCTTCTTAGTTACAAACTTTGCAACGCCTTGCAGAAGCTTATGTCTGAAGTTTTGTTCAAAAAGAGATACTCCTTTCTGAATCTTCTATGGATAAGCCAAAATTAAAGGATACCCTTGACATTAATTCAAGGACTCATGATGGTTGTTGTAAGGAAGAATTCTGATAGTTCAAAGGAAGTTGGTGTTAATGACAAAGTTCCCAAAACTTTTAAAAAAGTTAATGTAGCTCTTGAGACAACTACCACTGCTAAGAAAGAAAAAGATAAAACTCCAATGTGTATTCTCCAAAAATGTAGTCGCGATGCTCGCAATTCTACTCCAATTGCACCAAGAGCCACTTTTTTACAAGAAAGTTGAGGATCTAATGATTGAGTTTTGACCAAGAAATCTTCTTTGTGTAAAGTCGAATTGATTCAAATAAAACCGACTTCAATAATCACCTCGCCCTAATCAGAACTTCGGTTGAGTATGAGAAGATGTTAGTGGAAGAAAAGTTAATTAGATCGAGGGTGTTTTCTAGCATTTTGTAATGAAGTCGCCAATACTCTCTGCCAAGAAGCACAGGAATTGCAGACTAAGGTTGTTTTTAATCGTAAGTTTTTAGAGATGTCCAAACTGAGCCTATTCCTTGTTGGTGGCAAGTTTGTTATACAACAATTTATCCATAGTGTAGCAATCTCCCATGAATTTACTTCTAATCTAGCTTTCATATTTTTCGTTGCTGCAACTAGTTCTGTATGGGAAGTCAAAGAAAAGCTTACTTCGAGTCACCCTTAATTTGTATTGTAATATGAGCTAGAAAACTTCTTTTACGTTTTATGCAATGAATGCTATGCGGGAACTTTTACTAAAATCCTTCCATTAGTTATCTTGAAGTAACCTATACTTTCAAATAAAAAAGTATATAAATTTATTCTGATATATTCAAATCTTTCAATTTCCATTTTTTACTTTAAAGAGATATTTCATAGAATTTCCTCCCATATGTTCATCCACCTAATTCACCATGAGTAGAGAATGCAAGTAGAAAGTTAAATATTTCGCTCTAACTCCAGCCGCAAAACCTAGTCTAGCAATCAATGCTTCATATTCAGCTTGGTTATTAGTAATTTGAAAATAAAATTTCAACTCGTGTCAACATGATTGTTGATGAGCTTTTAAAACCATTCTAGTTCCAACCAATCAAGCTCTTGAGACTTCATCAAAATATAAAGCCTAAAAAACCTCTTCTTAGTTTATTATATCCTTTCCTTCATCCAAAAGAGTGAAATTAGCCAAGAAATCAACTAGCATTTGTGCATTGATAACAGTCATTAACATATAACAAATCCAAAACTCACTCAACTCTTGAATGATCAAGCTTTGTGAATACTATCTTCAATGGGTGGTTAATGATGACTTGCATTAAATGAGCTTAATAC